TTCTTTTAGTGTACTTAAAAAAAAGTTAAGTTGCGTACAACCGCACCTATGCATTGGAGATCCAAATTTAAGAAACTTCAAAGTCTACAAACTCAGTTTTTTTTAATGGAATGACCATGTTCTTACTATTGCATGAGATGAAGAATCGAAATTGGCATATTTTGATATTACATGTTCCTATAGCTATCTTTAACAGTTTCTGATTTATTCCTATTTCATTTAATTGATCTCGGAATTGATGCCATTTTTTCTTTTTAGTAGTTGGCCATGATTTTATAACAATCGAATTTTAAACAAATCAAGGAATGGATTCGTTAATATCATTGATTCTAGTCTAAATAATTCATTAATAAATAAGTTTGTTGTTAAGGATATCAACTGAATTTCTTAAACAACGTATAATCTAGACAGAGTCGTTCAACTGATTCATTTTCTTAAATATTCTCTTGTAGAGCTTTGTATCACTTATGCTTGACAGTTTGGAGTACATTTGGGGCTACAACATTTCCAAAATTCATACAATTTCGTTTCATTGTTCGAATGAATGTACGGCAAGCACGTGTCGCGATTCTGTCCATTTCACCATAAATAACAATTAAATTCCAAAATGAGTGAAACCACTGCGAGTCATTTTTCGATTTTTGAAAAAGTTATATTAACCTATAACAGTAGGTGACGGATTAGTGTCACTAGATTTGTTTAAAATTCGATTGTTATAAAATCATGGCCGACTACGAAAAAGAAATTCCGAAAAAATAGTGTCAATTCAATAAAATGGGAATAAGTCAGAAACTGTTAAAGATAGCTATAATAGGAACATGTATTGTCAAAATATGCCCATTTCGATTCTTTATCTCAGAAAATAGTCATTCCATTAAAAAAAAATAAGTTTTTAGTCTTTGAAGTTTCATAAATTTAGATCTCCATAGGTGCGGTTGTACGCAACTTAACTTTTTTTTAAGTACACTAAAAGAAAGCCACATTCATTCTCTATGCACTGATAAAAATAGGTTGCCATGACTACAACCATTTTCAAGTAATCGATTATCAAGGTACCATCTGCATCCACCAAACATTTAAACGAATGAGAGCGTGACACCACTTTAATAAGTATCAGACGAGGTTATCTATTTATTTTTTAGTGAAAATAGCTGCACTTTACTAGGAGATAGTTATTTATTCAAAAAATTCTTCTCGAAGAGACGATAACGTTAAACATAACACTTAACTTTAAAAGAGTGTGAACAGATCACCATGAATAATTTCTTGAAAGTCGATAACTCACTTTTATTAAACCTTTAACAAAATGTGCTTTCCAAAATTAGAAAATAATCAGTGGCAATAAGTGATTAATTTGAAATGAGACATGGCATAGACGTTGCAATTTGTAATAGTACTATATGATCAGAATGAACTCCATGTAGGACGATCGAACATTCGACTATTTATAAACCAAATTTGGCAGCTTCTCCCAAACATTTGCCACTTTAGAAGCACATTATTGCAATTTACTAGCACTGTTATAAAATATTTTGTACTTGCACTTCACCTTCTCAAAATGCCCCTGCATAATATACAAACTTACTATACTTAGTAACTACAATGTTAAATCCTCCGACAGTAGCGAACGAAGCAAGTAGAGTGGAACACCACTAAAAATGCAACGGAGGGATGTTCTAAATATCCGAATTATTAAAAGAACAAATTGACGATTAAAAATAACCGCGATTCGGAACACGTGTGTCCTATGAAGATCTAAATAGATTTATTAGTTCATTACTGTTAGGAGGAGGAATTTGAGCTGGACTGCATTTTCCGTGCATTCTCAATTTTAACTTTCCGTGAAGTGAAAAAATTTCCTGATTATATCGAAGCTTAACTTAGAAATATTTACAGTTTCTACGAACTGACGTAAATCGGATAAAATATTACCGATCATCAGGTTATATTTTACTTCGATTTATTGCAATAACAAATATATAGGTCAAAAAAGCTTGTTTTGTTTTACTTACTCAACTTTTGCAACGCCCTCCTCACTGGTTTTTCTGCGAAGTGATCTCTCGATATTTGTATTGCACGGTCTTCCAGTAAAAGCATAAACAATACCTATATGTTATTGATTCGTGTGTATATTGATCCTGGGACCCATTTTATTCTCAGCCTTGCACTTTGAAATTGTTCTTTACGTGCCAAACAGTGAGGATTGAAAATAAGCACCCATCAATTATTAATCCCGATTTCCGATACACAATATAATACCTACATATTTTTAATAGCGGATGAAAACAAAATGTTTACCTACCAACAAACCTTTTTTTGATTCCCATTTTTTATCTCCAAAATTTGCAATTCCGGCAATTCCAGGTAAAAAAATCCCCATGATCATGTCACCCTTTGCCTGCTTCGTGATTCGTATTTACACTAATGAATTGTTTAGAGACAACAGGAACTGCAAAAAAACTATGCCGTGAATAGTTCACCAACACAACTGACAGTGGAAAGCGCAGAGGAAGTAGAGAATCACCACAACGGAAGTAATAGTAGCCATGAAAGAAATAAAGGATGGGAAGGCAGCAGGAGTCAATAATATCCCCATAGAAGGTACTCTTGCTAATAAAATCTACGAGAGTGGGATGTGGCCAGTGGACTTTTTCTGTCCCTAAAAGCAAGGTAGAAAAACATAGCAACAATATTCAAATTAATTAATATGACAGCCAGATCTTTCTTTGTTTTAAGAAGTTATTTTTGTTGCATAAAATTAGGCACCCTTCAGAAGAAATTTTTTCATTTAAAAGTAGACATAAGCAAAAATAATTCACGAAAATCCCGCACACACAGGAAGGATCTTATTGAAAATTTTGAATAGAATGCTTAACAAAGTTGCGAGAAGATGAACAGTTTGGTTTCAGACGAGGAATGAGCACGAGAGATGCAATAGGAGTGGTGAGAACGATCGGCGAAATATATTTGAAAAAAGAAAAGACATTCTGTGTAGCTTTTGTTGGCATTCTAAAGGCATTCGATTGGGTAAACTGGGAAAATAACTGTTGGAAATACTAAAGAGGTAAGGTGCCAACTGGAGAGAAAAACGACTAATACGAAACTCGCATGTGAAACAAAAAAAATGAAGGTTGGCGATTTGGTTTTATATTGGAAGAGGAATTAGACAGAGATGTTGTTTATCACCAACTCTGTTTAGTTTAATTGATATGTAGAAGACATGGAGCAAATGTGTTAGAAAAGGAGAAAATATGGTATGAACACGGCAGGGAAGAAGATTATTAGTATACGATTTGCGACTGACATGATTGTATTTGCTGAGTGAAACAGAGCTTGAGATATTTGTTAGAAAAGATAGATAAAATGAAAACAGAGTGTGACCTGAGAATTAATAAGAACAAAACAAAATGAAAGTGGGAGTGCGAGGGATATGTCTGTAATGGTAGACGGGGTGAGGTAGAGCATGTGGAAAGAGATAGGTATTTAGATAACACAAGGTTAGAAAAGCGAAAGAGAAATTAAAACCAGGATAGCGATGGCAAAATGGCAAATTTGATAATAAAAAGAGGACAGCAATAAAAAGAGATTAGGAAACGTTAGAAGCTTTTTAAATGTGGGTATGGAGAAGAATGATGAACTTCAAATATTAGTAACATAGAAATATTAAGTAGAATTGGAAAGGAAAGATGCATGTTAAAGATCATAAAGCGAAGAAAAATGTGCACATGTACTAAGAAACAACTGTTTATTAAAGGAAGTAATCGAGAAAAAATGGAAAAAAAACGAAAAAGAAGGAAATTGGTTGACGACCATATTTAGATTAACAGGAACATGCAATTTGATGCCCAAAATAGTGTTGTGCAGTGCAGGAACGTAAAGTAAGATGGCCCTGAATCTCAAGCATGGAATTGATCAGCCATTTAAAAATTATTATTAACGATCCTCGAGATCGTTTATAATTTTGTATTGCTGTCTGTCCGTTCGTATGTCTGCCCTCGTGCACGATAACTTTATGTGGAAACGTCCGATTGCTTTGAAAATTGATCTACATGTTCCTCAGAATGGTCGCTATTATCTTTTGGCTACGTAAAGCAACGGGCCAAAAATCTACAGCCCAAAAACTGCCCAAACTTCCAAAAAGGGTTTCTTTTATAACTCTTGTTACAAAGAACATATGAATGTCTGGTTTTCTGTGTTAGTAAATTTTCCTTAAATCTCAGGCAGATGCCAAAAAAATATTGCGCATGCGCATTCCAACTTTTGTATTTGCGCAATCGATTTTTTTTAATGAAATTTTGTATGTTGGCACCTTGAATAAAAGTAAAACTAATGCCGATTCAAAAAATGTGTTTTACAAGCCATGCTGATCTGGTGGGACAGAAACAACCCCTTAAGGTGTATTATAATAATGATGTATATGGGAAGATATCGAGTGTAGTTCGGTATTCAGTTGTATAAGATTTTTTATGTCTTACTAACCTATCATAGCACATTTTATATCTGTGATACGCGGGCATAAAGTACCACTTTATGCCCTAGGGCATTAAGTATCACCATAGTAACTCATTTATACTTAATGACAAAACGAACAAATATTTGCAGGTCATTGAAAATTAGAAACGTCAATTAATAATTGTCATTACCTACTAAATCACAAGATTGACCTTATTTCGAATAGTTTCTGGAACTTCTTGCTCATTCACGATAAATTGAATTATTTAAAATTACGTTTGACGTTTGGATGGTTTTAATCACATTAACAAATTCGAACCACGCATACTCGATCAAACATAATGAATTATTTTGTAAACGAATTTTGACGAAGAAAACTATTTGTAAAACATAAAATTGTGTATGTACCACGGGCATAAACTGATGTTTATACTCTCGGGCGACTAAAAAGCTCTCGGGCCATAGGCCCTCGAGCTTTTTAACTCGTCGCCCTCGAGAATATAAACATCACTATTATGCCCTTAATACATAAATAACTATTATGTACAAAATTTCTGGGATTGACGTTTGATAGCAAACTAACGTGGAACGCGCATATTGAACACCTGAAAACAAAATGTATGAAAACCATGAATATCATCAAGGTATTATCGCGTACCAAATGGGGTGCTGAGGTGCAAATGCTAATAAACGTATACCGGGCCTTAGTTATGTCGCAAATCGACTATGGAGCGATTGTATATGCATCAGCACGTAAATCGTCGCTATTACTATTAGATAGGGTGCATAATACTGGAATAAAGTATTGTTTAGGCGCGTTTCCTACCACTCCTATACACAGTCTTTATTGTGAATCGAACTTGCCTCCATTGGATACGCGAAGACAACAGCTGATGATCAATTATATGGTTAAAATAAAATCAGATCCCACTCACCCGAACAATGTTTTCCTATTTCCAGACGGAAATGATTTTGACGCCAGGCCAACTATCCCACGACCGCTCGGGATACGGTTTAAAGAGATCCTGGGGGAACTACACGAAACAATACCTCACCTAGTGCAGAAAAACCAGTACAATTGCTACCCGTGGTTGATACCTAAAATAAAGTAAAATTAGACCTTAAGAATCTAAACAGAAATTTAGCAACAAAGCCACAATACTTACGTCTATTTGAGGAGATCGCTAACAACTACACAAATAAAACGGTTATCTTTACTGATGGCTCGAAAAACCAACAAGGGGCGGGATCCGCCATGGTAGTTGATGGTGTGGTCCACTCCTGGGCCCTAAACCCTATAACCTCGGTGTATACTGCGGAACAGTTTGCATTATGGAAGGCTCTGGTACACATTCCCGTAGAACCTACAAATAAAACATATTTGATAGTTAGCGACTCCTTAAATGCCATAAATGCTGTAAAAGATATATACACGAGAGATCCTCTGGCTCGTTTATGCCAAGGTTGTTTGGTGGACCTGAGTGAGCATAATGTCAGACCTGTTTTTGTTTGGGTACCTGGACATTCTGGCATTAATGGAAATGAAATGGTTGATAGAGCAGCGAAAATTGCAATAACAGGTCCAAGAATTGATGAGGAGCATGTCAAAATGACGGACGTACAATGTCACCTTAAACAAAAAATAATAGAAATCTGGCAAGGCAAATGGGAAAGACAAAGTACATCCCTATCACATGTTAAACTATCGGTGAAGGAAAAACTATACCTGAAAGATTTTCGTAGAGATGAACAAATAAAGATACATCGGTTAAGATTAGGCCACACAAATGTCACGCACCAATATCTTTTGACGGGTGATCCCAGGCCGCGATGCAATACGTGTAATGTTGATCTCTCTGTGAAGCATGTAATCTGTGATTGTGTTAAGTATGTAAATCAGCGTGATAGGTTTAACCTAAAGGAAGATGTTAGAAGCAACCTTAACGAAATACCAAACTTGAAGAATGTGCTAAAGTTCCTGAAAGCAATAGGGATATACAGCAATGTATAAAAATATAAAGTTCTAAAATACTTACTTTTTACTTGGAAGGTATGTGTATGAATGTCGAGAAGACCCAAGTAGTCGAAGCCATACCTAAAAAAAAAAAAAAAACTATTATGTACCTATAGTTGAAAAAATTCCGTCGAAAGAGATAAATATGCCCTTTTTTTATTATTTATTGTTTAAATTTTAAAAGCGAGGGTGGAAAGATGCGATATATGGATCAGTTATTGGTAGATACGGAGAACAAGCAAGGAGCGAAAATGGAAGACGCTTATTGGACTTTTGCCAAATGCATAACCTTATAGTAACGAATACATTTTATAAACATAAAGACATCCATAAATATACCAGAGTAGAACCTGGCAGAGATGAAAAATCAATAATCGACTACATACTGGTACCGGAAAACCTTAAAAGCGACATATTAGATGTTAGGGTAAGACGAGGGTCTGAAATCGGCAGTGATCACTATCTATTGGTAGCAAGAATAAAAAACGTGGAAAATCACAAGGAAAAGGAGCTGAGTTGTAAGAAAATGGAATTTGAAACAATAAAAACGTATAAACTTTCTAACATGGACATTGCGAAGAAGTATAAAGAGACAACACATCGAAAAATGACAGAAACAGCTGGCAGCACAGGAAACATGTCATTACAGCAGCTATGGATAAAATTCAAGAACATAACGATAGAGACAGCTCGAGAGATATGCGGAATATGCAAGCATTCGAACAAACGTAAACAAACATCATGGTGGACAAACGATATTAGGGAGAAAGTGGAAGGAAAAAAAACAGCATGGAAAAAATACCTAGCAAACAGAAATGACGAAAACTATAATTTTTACAAAGAACAAAGAAGATTGGTCAAGGATACTATTATAAAAGCTAAACAAACTGCTTGGATCAAATTTGGAGAGAAGCTGCAGAGAGATAGTAAAAACCATCAAAAGTTATTTTACAAGGTGCTGAAAACCCTCAAGGAGGGAAAGACTAACATACCTATGGAAATTAAAGACAAGTATGGCGAGAAAATTAAAAATGAGGAGCAAATAATGGTGAGATGGCAAGAATACTTCGAGAAACTGCTTGACGGTGAAAACAATACAAGTCCTACAACACACGAAAGAAGTATTAGGAGAAGAACAAGAAACACAAATGAAAATGTTACAGGAATGATAACAGGGGAAGACATCGAAGAAACATTGAAGGAAATAAAAAACAATAAAGCACCCGGACATGACAAAATTACCGGAGAAATGATAAAAAACATGGGCTTTTCCGGAAAAGAGTTGCTAAGAGCGATATATACCAAAGCATGGGAGGAAGAAAGGGTCCCTCAAGATTGGGAGATAGGTGTAATCGTGCCCGTCCATAAAAAAGGCGATAACAAGGATTGTAATAATTACAGAGGAATAACACTAATAAGTACTGTGATGAAAATTTATGAGCAAATACTAAATAAGAAACTGACAGTAAGCACAGAACAAACCCTTACAGATACACAAAGCGGATTCAGGAAAGGAAGATCAGTGCAGGATCACATATTCACAATCAAACAAATGATAGAAAAGAAGAAATTAGGAGGAAAAGTATATTTTGCATTTATTGATTTAGTGAAGGCTTTTGACTCTATCCCCAGAGATAAAGTTTGGGAGAGTCTACTGAAAAGAAACGTTGATAATAAGTTGGTTAGAGTAATTAAAAGTTTATATAAAAGCACTCTTAACTATGTGATATGGAAAAACATGAAATCAGGATTCTTTGCTACAACACAAGGATTGCGACAAGGTGGAGGGCTAAGTCCGACACTGTTTAATATTTTTATGGATGATGTTATTAAAAGTTGCAACGCTAACACACAGAAGGCTTTTATAGGATATAGGCAGATGAATAGGGTATTAGTATCGGAATGTGCTTTTGCGGATGATATAGTTATTATTACAAACACGGAACAGGATTTGCAGAACAATTTGAAGGTGTGGGACGAGGAATTAAGAAGCAATGGCATGAGCATAAATACCACGAAAACTAAGGTCATGGCAATAGGAGCAGAAGAACTGAATCCAAAAATCACATTACGCGAGGAAACCATAGAACATGTTAAACAATTTAAGTATCTCGGGGTAATGATAGACGAAACAGGTAATGAAGATGCAGAAATCAACGCAAGAATTAACAACTCCTTAAAACTTTATTTCGCGATTAACAAAAGTTTCATAAGTAAAAAAGAAGTCTCAAAACAAACTAAAATAAATGTGTATAAGGCAGTGTACAGACCTATTTTGACATACGGGTGTGAAACGTGGGTGTTAACACAAAAACTTAAAAGTAAATTAACGGCTGTGGAGATGAAATATCTTAGACGAACAAAAGGTGTAACAAGAATGGACAGACTACGTAATGACCACATACGAAACGAACTGGACGTACAACCAATACTAAAATTCATTGAAAACAGACAATTAGCGTGGTGGGGGCACCTTCAAAGAATGGACAACGTAAGACAAGTGAAGCAGGTATGGGAATCCAGGAGCCAACACAAAAGAAAAAGGGGCAGACCGAAGATAACATGGGACGAGAACATAAGGAAGATACTAGAGGCGAGAAATACCACATGGAGAGCAGCAAAAACCCTGGCCAAGAATAAGAAAGAGTGGGCGAAATTTGTACACACATAAATACTACTTTTTTTTTTTATGAGAATTTACTTTTTTTTCATTTTTAATGTAATCACAATGAAATTGTTTAAGTTAAATGTGAAGCTGTACTATAATACCTTTACACCTACGGGTAGAAAGGTTTCATGATTATATATATATTTTAAAAGCTTGCATAGGTAGGCAAACCTGGAAACACCTTCTTCATTACTGCATTTGATGTATGGTTTATTTTAAAAGATAGTACAAAATCGTCTGTTCTAGAAATGTTGGCTCATCGAATAGAGATTTATAAACAATTCATACGTTGCGCTTTTTACTACGAAATAATTATTTATAAAGTTGGTCTGATCTGTGTGCATACTGAACCATTATAGGTACTTAAGTTGGTTCTATTTGTTTATATTGGCATTATACCTAGTAGAAAGCTTAATGCGGTTACGTATACATGAATAGAGTAGTTTTCGATTAATTTATCTCGTTTGCCCTTGTCTCTGTTTTAACATTCAGATGTCTAAATATACCTAAGGTTATGAATCAGCAATTTTCAATTTCACACAATACAGACAATAATTACAGTTTATGATGAAATTCTTCACGGACATTAACAAAAGTGGCCCTTTGTCTACATTCATGTGTTATCGCAGCTCTTGAATATTATCAAGTGGAGTGTCAAATGTCCCCAAAGAAAGAAATCAAAGTGATTTGTATCGCAAGATCGTGGGTGGCCATTCTTTGGGACTTCATCTGCCTACCTATATACCAGGATTATGTGATCAGAAGGCCTTTCACTCCTTCCAATAGAATAATTCTCATTTTCTTCACGAAAAAAGTGTGGAATTTCGTTACAACAGTACCTACAATTGTGTTTGTTCACAAATCCTTCCAAAAAGAAGGTACATTGGCCGCTAAAGTAACTGTTTTTGGAAGAATTAAGGATTTTCATTAATTCTTTGGGCATTCATATTTATCCAACTCGTGTAAAACTTGTACCTTGTATAGAAAAAACTAGACCCGGTAGACAGTAATCAATCGGAGACCAGTAGAATTGATGAATTTGCAACGCAGATTGTAAAGAAACAAGAAAAGTACACGTACAAAATTTGGTTTTCAAGCAATATTTTTTTAATTCTTAAAATAAGGTTGTCTGGGTAATTTTTTTTATTTCCATCGTTAAATACTTTTCTGTCATTTTGTCTTAGCATCACGGTTATAGGATTAATTGCATAATTCTCCTATAATCTTTGTTATTATTTACGAGTATATTGAATGATTTTGGAAGCTGAATGATTTAGCATAGCAGGTGCGTGCGTAAGAAACCGACATCTTGGCATCACTTTTACAACAGTTTCATTCGAACGTTTATTGACCTTAGAAAACTGTTTGAAGTCGGACTTTTAAAAATGGGACACAATTAGCCAGATATAAAATTAATCAGAGGACGAAATTTTGGGAGCGGAACGCAAAGCAAATTTCCAATAAGTTACTGCTTTTGCTTACGTCATCTTGATGGATTAATCTTTCCTCGTATACCTACCTAAATTTTTCTAATTAAATAAAAGTTGTCAAGCTTTTGTCGTGTATCTGAATAAATCATCAGATTAAGTTAAATATATGATCAAAATTCTTCAGGTGTGCCAAAAAGATTGACTTTATCCAAATACATTGGTTCATGTATAGTATATGGTAGCAAATTGCTGGGGAAGCACTCATAACAATGTACAGTTCATAACAAATCTAACATTTAATTAATTAAATAGTTTAAGTTAAGAATAAGTATACATTACCAAAGTATTCTTTCGTATAAACCTAATTAAACGAAACCTAATCATACCAACTCATAAATTTTACATTGGCTATTTTAATAATACTGTTATTTTAAGAACAGAAATAGAATTTAAACTAGAAATAAATCAGCTGAGAACTAAAATTACGAAGTACTT